AATTCAATTAGTTTTGAATATCAGTACAATGAAAAAAAAAGCAAAATGAAACAAAACATCTATGATTTTAAATCAAGGAATTCTTCCAAGACAAACTAATGATTAAATGAAATGGATGGTTTTGATACAAAGAGTACAATTGACATGTAGGTGACAGAAAATAATTTGTATACCTAATTTTAATTGTTGTTATTGTTGTTAAGTGCCGTCAAGTTGGTTCTAACCCATAGTGACCCTGAACAGGTTTTCCGAGACTGTAAATCTTTACGCGAGCAGAAAAACCTCATCTTTCTCCCGCAGAGCAACTGGTGGTTTCGAACTGCTGGCCTTGTGGTTCGCAGCCTGATTCGTAACCACTATGCTACCAGAGCGCCTTCAATTTTAATTGTGCTATAGACAAAATTTAAGGAGCTCTGGTAGCGTAGTGGTTACAAATCGGGCTGGGAATTGCAAGGTCAGCAGTTCGAAACTACCAGCTGTTCCGCGGGAGAAGGATGAGGTTTTCTGCTTCCGTAAAGATTTACAGCCTCGGAAAACCTGTTCAGGGTCACTATGGGTCAGAACCAACTTGACGGCACTTAACAACAACAGTAGACAAAATTTAAAATCCTAGAGAGTTTGATGCATTTTGTTTATAGATCTTCACAAGTCTGGTTGATTGTAATTGCATAAATATCGTGCTTATCAAATCAGAGTGCAGATTCAGAATATTGATGTATGGCAAAGTTTATATATTTTATAGAAAGATTCCATTATCTTTGATTCCATTGTCTACAAAGTTTTGAAGACCAATCAGATAGTTCATATAGTCAGCAACGCCAGAATTAAACTCTCAGGAAACAACAGAGTCAGGCTAATGTTATACTGGTACATAATTATCTGACTTAATATGACAGTGCATCTAAATCTGATACAAAAATGATTCCAGGCATTCCTCTATAAACTAGAAAAATATCAAGTTAGCACCTTATATACAATTGACTGTTGTACAATAATCACACACTATTTATATCT